AAATAAAAATAAATAAAAAAAAAAGTCATTATAATAAAAAGTAATTATTTTTTAATAATGTTATTAAAAATTGATAATAATGTTATTAAAATGATTAAATAATAACATATATTTGAAATTAATCATAATATTAGAATAATATTTTATAAAATATTAAATTTTTCAATAAAAAAAAATACTTAATATATAAATTTCATTTAGAAAATGTATATAAAATTAAAGATATGTATTCCTATTTTCTTTTTTCTTAATTGAAAATTTTTGTTTTATTTACTATAATAACTTTTTTTTTTATATAAGTACTTATATTATTTTTACGTAAACATTTATATAATAAAAGTGCATTTTTTCTAATTATCGCTTACTATATAGAATATATGCTTGTTATATGCTACAATAATTAAAACTGCACTTTAAGTAACACCCTGTTAATTGTTATCTATTGAATATATTTAAAATATTAATTATAAAAAATTTAATTATTAATTTTCAAAATTAGTTCGGATAATCGTCGTTTAAATTTAACATCCCTGATTCTCTTTACAACCAATAAAATTTTATACGATTAAATCTTTTTTTTTTTCAATTTTTCAATATTTTATATTAAATATAATATCAAAAAATCATATAGAATAAAATAGCATATGTATTTAATAAATATTTAATAATTTAATAAATTATGTGCATTATTTGCTATATTCTTCTTCTCTCTCTTTTCTTTGACATTTGCCATTAATGTTTGTAAATATAATAAGTATAAAATATAAGTTACACATAGTTTATTTATTTTTCAATATAAATAATTATACAAAATTTTGACAAAATTGCAAACATTTTAATTTATTTCAAAAAAAAAAAAAAAACCAGGGACGTTCCCTAAGCTAACAATATAAAATACATAAAGATAATATTTAAAAAAAAACAATTTCTATAGATAAACGAAACATGACACAACAGAAATAAATAAAAAAATAATTTGTGCAAAAAGAATACTTAAAAATTTATATAATTTTAATTAATTGATATAAATTAATTGATAATATTAAATATGTTTTGTTCTGATAATATTTTATAAAATAAAAGTTTGGGATAAAATGTTGAATCCTTTTTTTGTATTAAAATGTCTTATATTCGCGTATTTATATTTATAAGTAATTTCAAATATAAAAACTCATTCCTATCTCAAACTGACAACTTTATTTTGTTCATGTTATGTATGATTGCGTGACACGAATACGTCGATTGATTCGAAAAATTCTTACACCCAGTTGTTGTATTTCCATCTGACTCATACTTGGACACAAGTGTCCTTTGTGCGATCATATGCCAACTCGACGCAGGACTAATACGTCACATTAACGCAAATTTTTATTAACATTGAATATTTCACTTCAGGACATTGATGATTAATGAGAGAATAGCTCATAGATGAGCGTACCTTGTCGTTTTCTAGGAGGAATCAAATAATTGTTTAATTTGCTAATCTTTAAATATTCAGTAGAAAAATAGGAATCTTACTCTAAGAGATTTTTAATATCATAATAATTTTATGTTAATCCAAAGTTCATTCTTTAATTCGAAAATATTTTATCCAAGATCTAATAAACAGTTTCATTTAAAAACATGTTTCTTGGATAGTTTTGAGTAATTAAATCAGATGTAATTGTTATCTATTTTGAGCGTTGTAATTATTTGATTTTTCCTAGACTTCAAAGGAAATGCTAATCAAATCTTTCAATAGAACCTTTATTTGCACCGAAATCTCTAAAATCGATCGCAATGTATTCTTAGTTGGCACATCGCGAGATATAACAGAGTTATGATTACTTCTGATTCTAACTTCACCTTTGGCATGTAACAGTAATCTATAAAGATGCTGTTAGAATTAAAAGTACATATCGAAATTACGTTTATGAAAAACGTTTGCGATATATTTTCTTATCGCGAAAGTGGAAATTTTACGATGTAAAATCTGGAAGAATAAGAACGAGGTGAATTTCTTTTCGTGAATTGATTTTCATTTTGAGCGTGACAAGTATCAATTTTTATACAAATAAGATATTAGATACAGTATAATATTAGTAAATATACTAATAGTTAAAGTTAATTAATAGAAATAAGATTTATTAGTATAATAATCTTTTCTATACCTACCGAATGCATTGCACCGGATTTAGTTTAATTGCATTTTTAATGTAACTTAACATAATAATAGAATGGATTTTATTATGCAGCATCACTAATAAAAAAATATATTTTTAAAAAATGTAAGAAAAAAATAAATAAAAAAAAAAAAAAAAAAAAAAGGTTTTTTTTTTTCAGAAACCAAAAAAAAAAAAAAAGGTTTTTTTTTTTCAGAAACCAAAAAAAAAAAAAAAGGTTTTTTTTTTTCAGAAACCAAAAAAAAAAAAAAAGAGGTTTTTTTTTTTAGGAACCACAAAAAAAAAAAAATATTTTTAAAAAATGTAAAAAAAAAAAAAAAAAAAAAAAAAAAAAAAAAGAAACACATATCTTTTATCATGTTATTATCAATATACTATTAATATGAAATGAAAATATATAAATATTTAATAAAAGTAATATAATGAAAGATAACCTTACAAAAATGTTTTATATTTTCAAAAAGTACAAATTTGTGATGTTGCATCATGTACATAATATAATATAATTAAATTATAAAAGACATGAATTATGTATATATTTTTATACATCTTTTTACATATTATGTTTTGCGATATGTTTCCAATTGATATTTAAAATAAATTATTGAAAATATGTAAAATTATTTTCATACATTTTGTATGTTGTTTTATGATCATGTTTTTAAAATATTGAAATTATAAGTGCAAATGAATAATTTATAAATATATAGTATAATAAACTATACAAATTTTTATAGATATATGATTTAATTATTTGACAAAATTATATTTCTTTACGACAAATACTATGTATTTGAACATGTAACTATATGAAATGTACTGTCACTCTCAAGAAACTTGAAATACCTCGTTCCGGAAATAATGCGGAATAAATTTTCGTGACAAAACAAAATGAAAAGAACACCTGTCCATTATCTCGTTATATCTTATAATTTATTTTTTTCTTAATGTAATCTTATCACGATGAAATTGAGCAGGTGTTCTTCATTGTATATCTACTATATAGAAGATGACTAGGCCATATGAATATAACTAAGGAATTCGTATTATATTTCGGCACAATTTTACAACAAAGTACAGTGTGAAATCTACCTAATTTATCTCAGACCATCTTCTCTTTTATTTATTTCGGCACAATCAAACAAATATTGTACTTTTATACACACAATTTTCTTTCGTGCCAAAAAAGATTAGGTCTGCTAAATTTTGGTTGCTACTTTAATTTCTCAAAATTGTCCTGAGGTTTATTCATATGGCTCAATATTTTCAGTCCTGCAAACTTTATTTATTTTCAATCAATCTGATGTGTATTTTCAGCGATTCTTTTTTAGTGTCTGTGACTGTAACCAATGTTGTGAAAAACTAACTTTAAATTCTATTCTGGTTCTTCTCCTTCACCATCTATAATACAAACATTAATTAAGAATATATTAGATATTAAAGAATAATAAATTATTATAATTATTATAATGCAATATCAATATTTAAAAAAAAGGAAAATTATATACCTTCACGATCTACTTCATCATCTACCAATAAATCATCCTCTTCATTTACCCCATCTTCTTCATCATTCACAGCCTCTTCTTCCTCATCGTCTTCATCTACATCATCTTCGACAACAACTATACTATCATCTCCTTCCTCAGCTTCACCTGCTTCATCACCATCATCTGCTCCACCATCTTCTTCTTCCTCTTCCTCTTCTGTATCGCATTCTTCGCCATCTCCTTCAATACCATTTTCAACATCCATATCTGGTGCTAAATAATACTGAAAACGAATAATTTTGAATAAAAAAAAATAATATAATAAAAACAATATATTATAATATTTTTAAAATAATATTTTTCTTATTTTTATTATTCATTTATATTCATTTTTATTATTTATTTTAATAATTTTTATTATTTAATTTTAATAATTAAATAATTTAAATAATTTTTAATAATTTTAAAAATAATTATTATTTAATTATTTTTATCATAAGTTATATTATTATTAATAAAAAATAATAAAAAATTAGAAATATTAAAAATAATTTAATAATTGCAATAAAATGAATGAAATAATTGCATAAAATTATGTATCATCAACATTTAATAAAGTTTAATAAATTTCTTTATCATTTTCAATTATAATATGAATAACTTTACCTGTAATGGATTAGGCCACATATCATCTTTAATCAACTCTGCTATTTCATCTGAACTTGGATCTCCATGATCCGTAAACCAGTCAAAAAATGACCTGTGCTTTAATGGCCTTTTACGACCTTTTAATGGGGCTTTGGTTTTAGCTCTTTTTGTTAAATCTGCACCCTCTTTCCAACGTATAGGTGTACTTTGAGATGCTGGATCTCCTGCAAAAAAAGCAGGAGATACATCAAAACTATGATTATTCAATAGAGTTTTATTTTTCATCAATAAATTTTTTTTTATCCATATTAAAATTATACAATAACACATAATTTATATATTGCATCATATATTATCATATATTTTCTTTTAATTAATTATATCTCTATAAATAATTTAATATTACATTAAATTAAATTATTATTTTTTAAAAATTTCAAAAAGCAAATTTTATTAAATATATAGTAAAAATATATTTAAAAAAATAATTTATAAAGTAATATTTTAGTTCAGAAATGTGCTCACCAGAAGAACCTAAATGAAATTCTTTTGTAAGGACATCATTTTCAAAATATGGATTTTCATCAAAATGGAAATTAATTCTATAGCCAGATTTAATATCTTCAAATTCTTCAACTTCTAATTTATTTAAGAATCGAAGGGCATCTTCTTCATCTTCTTCCAATATTTCTGCTATTTCTTTATTGTTTACAAACTATACATCTATTAAGGAAATTTATATAATTTGTAATGCTTCAAAAAAATTATATTGAATATTAAATTATACTGAATGATTGTATGCATATTGAAATAAATGATAATCTTATTAATATTAGCATAAAACAAAGATTATTTTATATATATTATTCAATTATTTTCTTTATATTTTTATATTAAAATTTAAATTAATATTAAAATTTATTATAATTTTTACATATAACATACAATATATGTATATATACATATATATTTATTATTGTTAATATTATAGATTTATTAATAATTTATTTTTCAATAATAGAAATATTAAATACACATAATCATTTACAAATTTAGAATAAAAATATTTATAAACAAGTTTATAAAAATATATATAATAAGTAAATAAGAGAATAAAAATATAATAGATTGAAATTGCAAATATAGAAAGAAATATATGATAAAAGAAAGATATTTACATTAGTAGAATAATTTGTATTATAGATTATAATATATAACAAAAATATAAAAAAAAAAATCAAATATATATAATGAATAATATTATAGCATATTCATCATATTAAATATTTTTTATAAAAATAAATTTGTATTACATTCCGCGTGACCGCATGTATATATATACTTATATACGTATACAAGTAGGCAAGATGGCGACTAGCACCGGTGGACGCCGGCATTGTCGAGAAACGTCAAAGATATATCAGTAACTATTATTAGCGAAAACGTATTGTCATCATACAAAAGGATACAGCTGTAACCCAAAAATTGGGTATCCTCTTAATAATGTCATTCCGTTTTTGGAAATAGGGCTTACGCAACTTATTATACTTCTTCTCGACTTCGAGGATTTCATCGCTGGCTTTCTCATTGAGGCCATCGATTTGATTCTGACACCCATCAATCTCTTCGAGTGTCTTTTGTATTTCAATATCATAATCGCGTGATTCAACACCCTCCCCCGAACCTGGATCCTCTAATTCCTTGGCTTTCTTGTTCGGCGAAGCCATCGTTCGACCCGCGCTCTTGTCACCACACCACTACTCTCTGTTTATTTTCAGTACGCACTCTCTCCGCGTTCGTCACGCTCGTGTCACGAATTTGAGGCGCGTAAGCAAGCTAAACTATAACCATGAATTTGATAGTTCATCTAGATGCGCAACTATATTTCTCAAAATATTTAATAATCTAGTATCTTATATTTAAAATTTAGAAATTTAAATATTTTACTATTAAATTCTTTTATTATTATATTTAATTTCATTTTTTAATTAAACTTTAATTTTAGGGAATCAAATTTTTGGAATTATTTTCATTATTACAAAAATTAAAAAATAATAGTTTTAATTATTAGAATCCAATAATTCAAAAATTATTTGCATAAATTTACATAATTTTAGGGATTTTTGTTTATTATATAATGATATTTTAGATTTTTATTCTATTCGATTAGACAATAGAATCAACGCGCATCATATTCAAATTTCTTTTTGGATAAAAAATTTAAATTATTTATAATTTAGACTCAACTTAAAATGTTGAAAATTAAAATTTAATTCTCAAACTTAATATTGATAAAGCGATTGAATACAAAGAGGAAAAAATATCATAATGTCAATTTTATATGTTATATATATAGTATTTACAGAGATACAGATACAGAGAGAGAATATATTAGAAAAATTAACTTTTTTTCAGAAAAATTTTATTAACATATTGTATGAATAAAAATTAAAAAAAAACATTATGTGAAAATAAACTTATAAATATTTTATTAAAAATTAACAAAAATGATAGATTTTTCTATATAACTATATATTATATTATCAATATTTATTTGATATATTTATATAAACATAATGTTTACTTGCTGAAATTATTTTAATAAAATATAATGTAAATTAATAAATTATATAATTAAAAATTAATAATATTATTTATTTTTATGTGTTATATTTTCATTATTTTATTAACTTTTAAAAACATTTATGAGCATATATTTATATAATATTTTTTTCTTATTTTTAATCATAAAGAAAGTTAAGAGAATTTTATGAAAAATATTTGATATATTGTATTGAACAAATAATATGATATTAATTATCATATGAAATTTTTTAACTTAAATTTGAATTTAATACTGATGTTTTTATTCTCCAAATTGATTGAATAAAAATTCAATGTAGTATTATTATTTCCAAA